TTGGAGTTTCCATGTTTTTACTGATATCTCTCTCTCTTCAAACTCAATCCACAGGTTTCTGATTTTACCCTAGACGTACTATCTATGTTCTGAAAGAATCAGTGGCGTCCAAAAATTAATTATATACTCAAATACATATTAAATTCACAGTCTATCTGTCTAATCTAGTAATTGATTTTGAAATATTGAGATATCTGAGAAATAGCAAAGGTATCAACCCACACCCATATGCCGCCGACGAAAAGTTACCAGGTGCAGTGAAAAAGGTAAATTTCACGTTTCAGTTCAACAGGAATTGTTGGTTTTCGTGGAACGTCCTATCCGACAGTAACTCAATTTATTTTTTTTCTTCTGGTTTTAATAATTCGTCTTGCTCTATAACTTCTTTCACCTCCTTATTTTCTATCTTTCTGTTATCAGTAGTTTCGCAGGCTTGTTTTGGCTCTTCTAGCTCTAATTCTACCTCATTTCTAGGTTCGTCTGTTTCCGTCTGAGTTCCTTTATCACATTTGGTCGGTACGTTAATCTTATCATATAACATTCTTATATTATTCACACATTCCTCTTCGTAGGCAGATTTGTGATCAATTTTTCCCATGTATCTTCTATTTTTCATGTATATAAGACTCACTTGCGCTGCTTGATTTTCTTGAGGTTGCTTTCCTATATTTATATTAATATCTATTTCTACACCCTTATGTTTGAATACTATTGATCTATTTCTAATATTGATTATTGCCTCCTGTTTTTTCAAGAATTCCATCCCTAGAATGAGGGGGTACGGCAACTTTTCTACAACTATGACTCGGCAGTTTGTTTTCAAAATTCCAAGTTCCAATTTCACGTTCGCTTCACCTAGAGTCCGTATTCTCTTATTTCCTACTGCCAAAAGGTACTTCGTTTGGGAGTCTGCAATATTTCTGTTCAGTAACTCGTTACTTATAATATTTTTTCCAGATCCAGTATCCACTATGGCAGTAGTTGTGATCCCATCGATCCCTACTTCTATAGTTACTATCTTATACTTGGGCCCAGTCGTAGACAGGACGGCGCTGGGGTCTAGTTGCGGCGTCCGCTGTCGTTTGGGTTCCTGTACCTATTATTGAAATTTGTATTTTTACATGCCGAGGCAAATGACCCTGCTTTTTTTTTTCTTTTTTTTTATCGCTTGGAGCGCACGGAAGGGAATCCCTATAATGTTCAAAGAACATTGTGCGTTCCTAGGGAGGATAGAGACAGGAGGTAGGTATTGGATTTTTTTTTGGACTTTTGGAGATTATAATTATGTTGTTGGGAATACTTCCACAGGCAATGAATTCCAGAGCCTAGCCGTTCTATGGATGAAGGAGTCTTGATAAAGTGCTGTTCGACATCTTTCGAGGTTGACAACGAAAGGATGTGCTGACTGGGCTTGTCTAGTTCGTCTGATTGGTATTGCTAGTGAAGGGATGATAGCAAAGATTTCCGAAGAACATTTCCCGTGGAAGTATCGATAGAAAAGTTGCAGTTGTAGCATTTTGGCCGTCCATCTGTCATCCTCGTGTTTGGGAAGACTTCCCTGCTATTTCTTGGCCCATTGTCAACTCTCCTTACTTCTCCGCATTAATTATTTTTTCTGTATCTTGGTACCACGGTTCCTGAGTTTCCGTGATATCGACCGTTGTTCACGTGGAACCCGTTTGCTCGAACATAGTTGTTACTATGCCACTGCGGCCTATTGCCTTGTGCAACTTGAGTTCGTGGTTGCGGTTCTTCGGGTTGGAAAATGCCGCTTAGTTTGCCATCCGACATGTCGCAAATGTCCTTCAGTTTCACCACTATCCTTTTGAAGTCCTCCATGGTCATTTCATCTTCCCTCAAGAGTCTGTAGGCCGTGTACAAATCTCTCCTCAGTCCGTTCTCAAAGAATTTTTTGAATCCACTTGGGTCCGAAGTAGCATCATATTCATAAGATAATTCTCTTAGGTCCATGAAATATGTCCAAATTGATTCTCCATCTCTCTGTTATCTCTGTAACAATTGAATTTCCAAATTTCTCTTCACGTCAGCCTGTTCAAACTCGTTTTCCAATTCTTTGCTTACATCTCTTCACGTTTTTGCTGCGTTATCAGGATTCCTCTTGAAACTTTCATACCATCCTGCTACAACCTTCGTTAAAAAAGATCCTAAGTAATATATTTTCAGTTCCTGTGACCATGCGTTATCTGCCGCTGCTCTTTCATATGTTGCCAAAAAAGTGCTTGCTTTTGATTTCCTCGGATCGAATATCATTGGCAGATGAATCCTGGTAGCGCGGGATTTTTTGCATTGTTGAAGGTCTGGGTGATCGTAGTGTCTGCCATTTTTGCTTCTGTTGGTCTTCTTGGACTTGGTTGCGGGGCTGTGTATTGTTTTTCGTTCTGATTCCCTACAGTTGCTTGTATCGGAGAGCCAGCAGCCTCTATTGATTATTTTTGCTTCGACTGTTCCTCAGATGGTACTAGTTTCCTGATCACGTTTGCCTGAACTATAGGGCTTATAGTTGATGACCTTTGTATAACGTTCGATTTAGTAAATGGTTGAACTTCACTGCTTCTATGTTGCGGGATGAAATTATCCGAATCGCTAAGGAGTTTCAATCTTACTGATCTAGTTACCGGTTTATTTTTATCTCCCATAATAATGACAACAAAAGCCTCCTTCTGCCATATTTCAATATGTTGCGCAGTCAATTGAAAGTTTCGAAAATATTCACCGCAAATCGATAGTACTATCATAACAAATTTCCTATAAATATAAACTATTACATTTCGAATAAATGTGTATCTTTTAAAAACATATCAATCTTGTTCGTTCTCTAGAGATCATAACTTTTCTACAGGACTCTCAGACTTCACGGCACACAAGAAATGGTAACTCAGCTTTGCTCGAGGTATAACTATAAGATTTATTATGAAGAATTAATCACGAAATCGCACGAGGCGCCTCCACCATGTCACAAACTGTAGGCGGAAGTTGCCTCAGCTGTGTTCTTTTTGTCAATAGAGGATGAACCTTGGCAATTCATGAATAGTCGGAAATTAAGCAAAAAAAGTAAAAAATATTTCCAAAACAACAAATATACACATTTATTCAGAATCAGAATATGAATAACAATTTAAAACATACCGTATGCTTGCACATGCTATCTTCTGAGACCTGGAGGAAGGGCATCAGTGTCACAGCTTTCCGACGACCGACGAAAACGTATTTATAATTCTCAAGGCAAATTCGCGACGCGTCTTTGTCAGAGTCCTAAGCGCCTGATTTTCGGGCTAAGGACCGACAAGCAATTTCATCGGAGATGATTCAACATCAAGAAAAGACTTTCCGTGGTCGTGTTAAAATACAGAGCTACAACTAGAACTGGCAGTCCAACTCGCAGTCGAACCGGTAGTCGAACTGTCGAACCCGCTTCCTTACGTCTTTTAAATAGTTGTCTTTATTTTCGGAAACGTGACAGTAAGGAAATCAGGTCGATAGTTCAGGTTTGTTGAAGTCAATGTCACGCCTGTGTTTATGTTCAACTATGTAAAAAAGTTCGTTCACGATTCGAAAATTTTGAAATTATTAAACAAAGACGCGACCGTTCAAAGACTTCGAACCTCGTATGAATTTGAATGAATGAATGAAAAATAACCCTATTCGTGACATTATCTGACGTTTACCTTCGATACAGATAAAAATTTCAACAGGAACAGTAACACTTTGCTCAACTTTATCATCAGTTACAACAAAGTTATGACAAGACTTCTTGATCTTCGGATTCAAAATTCCCAATAAATTCATTCCTTTCTTCCTAATGGTTTTTTTATGTTCTGGTTCCCACGATGACAGATATCCTGTAATGTTCAGAAAACATCGTAAGAACCAAGGTAAATATTGTAGGAATTGGTGTTCTCCTTGAATTTCTGGAGGTTATATGCCTTGGGGAACACCTCCGTTGGCAATGTGTTCCAGATTCTCGCTGTTCGTTGGATAAACGGGTCTTCAAAGAAAGATATTCTGCAGGTCTCCAAAGTGACCACGAAGGAGTGCGAAGCCTCAACTCGACGGGTTAATCTTGCCGAGACTGCCAATGGAGAAACAATCATTGATATTTCAGAAGCATCGTCCATGGGAAAAACCTCCAAAATAGGGCCAGATCGCCAACTTTTCTACGGTTTTCCAGACGAGTGAGTGGGTTCGTGAGCGACGCATCACCTACGAGCCGAATTGCCCTTTTTTGGGTAGAATTCAAAAGTTTCAGGGTATGTTTGGGTGCTGCACTTCAAATATCGAAAAAGTATTCCAGGACAGGTCGGATCTGGAACTCATGGATCATAAGCAGCTGACTGGAAGTGAAATAGCTCCTGGAATCTGACAAAGCTATTATATTTTTCCAAAAATCTCAACTGACTGATATCTAACTCTTTCTTTACAAAAATTGGCGATATATTGCTTTTCGAATTCTCAAAACTCAGGAGCCTACGTTGCTATTCTTCAACACTCTCCACGGTCGGTATTTCTCTTTATAATGCAATTTGACATCGGTTCGAATCTACCACCATAACAAAAACAGTTTGAACTCGATAACAATTTCCTGAAAACGTTTGCATCCTCATGACGTCTGAATCAGAGTTTTGGACGTACGATCATTTGAAGGACACTGAATGGACATCCTCGATACGTCCTGTGCTATCTGGGTATGTCAAGCTTTCATTCTGTGGTAGTGTTCGTGTTTATCGAATTGGGATCATAATCTCACAACTAGTTTCAGAAGGTTTTCCACCAATGGAAAGTTCTGATAACTTCACGAAAGCACTTTATAATATTCGCTCAAGCGCTGGTGCTGTTCGAGTATTACCATTCAGTCGTTCCTGGATATATTTTTCTCAAGGAAGGCTCTTGTGAGCTCTGATCGACTATTCCACTCATCACATAACATGTTCAATCGTGATATTATTTATAAAAAAATGTTCTTACGTACTTTTCCCTTCCAGCAATCCAGCCTCAGCACCAAAATGGCCCAACGAATGACCTTTGGCCTGTTTTCTGCGTCGACAACTCAGCGTTGCGAATTCGTACGTATGAAAGGGCCACAGGGCAAAGGGCATGCTGAGATGGCAGTCACTAAGCCTCAGGGCTCAGGAGTGGAGACACCTACCTCTGAGCCTGGATTATGCACAACTGATACGTGGGACTCCGACTGGGAAGAGGATCCTGATGATTTCTTTGTGTACAGGACGCAGAGGAGGTTGAGTGATCCGAGTGCAAATTTAAATAATTTCGTTAGGGGTGGATGGAGAACTAAGTTGGATGTGAAAGCAAAATCTGAAAGTGAAGGATTGGATCGCATCGATAACGGGGTAACTGAGATTGAAGCTGGAGATTTGAGAGATGGTGAGTGAACATTAATATAAGGTCAATTATTTGGAGACGTTCATCCAACGAACACTTATTTCATAGCAATTGTGAATTATCATAAAAGTATTTCGTCGGAACCTCATTGTGTAGGAACGTCTTATCGAGTCAATTATATATCAGAACCGTTATCCATCGTGACAGTTGAACATCTTCATCAATAGAATAAAATTCTCAGAACTTGATAATGAGACGTGATACGATAATCATGTTTCATTGTCTCGACAGAATATACTTCTGGCACAATAAAACTACATTGAACGGTTCTGATCATCGAATATAATGATGAGTTACGGTGATGATAGATTACCGTTCCGCCGAAATACAATTCTGACAGATTACTGTCGCAATAGAATGTATCATCTTATTTTTTGAACGATACGGTTTTATGGAATTACCGTTCTGTCAGAATAGGGTTCTGATTAGAAACCATTCTGATGAAATACTATTATGATAAATAACCATTCCTATGATGGAGAACGGTATAATGTTCACTTCATAATAGATTACTGCTTCGTTAATTTCCGTTGAAATATCATTCTGATCGAATATATCCAGATGCAAAACGATTCTGAAGAAATACGTCCTGTCGAATTATATGCAGCCTCAATGTTACATACGGCTTGATAACCATGAAGGACCAGGTCACTGTAATTGCATATTTGATAACTGCAGACAACTTTTACCTCTTGAAGGTGTTCCAGGATATTTCAATGAACTGATGTGATTCCATCTCATCATATGGCTTTTGAACTGAATACATTCCAGACACTCTATTGGCGATGGATGTTCAAATCTGATTCGAAAGGGTAGAAATCCATTTCACTGTTATGATAGAGTCTGACTGCAGATTCAATCGAATTGGATAATAATATATGGATAACTTTGCATGTCACTTGGGAAAATAATCATGCTGCACAAAGCTCATGTCTCGACAGAGATATCTCTTCCAAATGTAGGTTCATCCTCATCAATTCTTCCTGGAACCCAATTCATCGATTTGGAATATCAATCGGCACTAGCAACTCATCCTGATCCAGTTCCAATATTCACCATCTCTTCAGCATTATTTTGACTGTGTTGTCACATGCGAATGAAAGACCGAGTGAATTGTGAATCTGTTGAATGCACCCATGTAGCATTCAAAGTTCCATTAAGTTACTTACAATTTTTTTCTCCTAGAACAATAACACATTGAGTGATTGTGAACATCATGTTATTCAACCAACTATATAAGTTCAGCATACTGTCGTAGTTGTTGCATTTTTCGTAGGGAGACTGAATAATTTTTCTCATTATGAACAGCGCCACGAGAGAAGATATTCAGAACATAGTGATATTTTGCTAGACTATTCCACGTCCACGAAATATAAAAAGCACTTATTGTTAATGAGCGATTCCTTCTGACAACTAAAGCTATAAATATTTTATGCAAACCTGAAAGACTTGGCTTCCCTATCCATGGTTCCATTGTTGAGAACACTAACGCCGATAGTCCAATCAGAGTTACTAAAAGAGAGCTTGTGTTATCACGATAACACAATTCGTGCTTGGTCAAAGCATGTGATGAGTGAAATAGTTCTTGAACCAACTAAAATCTTTACTCTCCTTGTTATTCACATCTAGGGTAGTTCGGGGTTGTCTTATTGGACGATATGTTAGGTGATGTCTGCAAGTTAATCGATATGGAATATTTAATCAGCTGTTCACAACAGTATTTATACTCCTGAATTGGAATTATACATGAGTATTTCAGTAGAAATGATCAATATATATTTTTTCAAGCATTTTTTATTTCGGATTTTTCATTGTTCGCCTGTCATATTTCAGATATATGACGACTACTAATGACATTCAATTGTCATCCGTAATATTTATCATATGTTGCTGGCGTTACGTTTATTCACGAGAATGAATGAGTGATTTCAATCCAATACTATCAGGGATGTTGCCATGTGTGCTAGCAATACTATCGATAATAATTCTGTCAGAAATCAACGAGATCCACAGGATGAGGAGTGGCCATATATTTGCATCCTTACTCAAAACTCTGTGAACTCCGACGCCACGCAAAGTCGAGATAGATTGAATCCAGTGACCACTTCTTACAGCACGTGAGGTAAGTAATCACTGGCACCAAGTATCATGTGCATAGAGCAAACGCAACGATCCGAGTTTGACGGCCTTCTACGTTTCACCAGCTAGAATGTGTGCCTTATCACGGCGTGCTGGAATTTGACACTCAGGGAGCCGATTCTCAGAATGATCATTTCCTCCCAGATAGCACAAATCCCTACTGCGACCCTCCTGAGGCGTTCACAATAATGTCCTCAGGACGTCGAGGGCGAGCCTGAAGAAGTTCCTAGGCCATCCTCCTGTTACCAATATATACCTAATGATAACATCTTGGGACATCCCTGGGATATACACGATATGTGTACAAATCTAGGCAGTTCAAAGAAATGTCTCTCAGATATCTTTTGATGACTTCAAGGATATTCAAGATGATTGAGAGATAAATGAAAATGAAAATTTTCAAAAAATATATAGTATTTTCAGAAATTTGCTTCGATAATAACATGTTCGAATGAAAATGTTACATGATATAATTCATAACCTTCTCTGTAGAATTTCGAGTTTGACAAAAAATGTTCTGCAGCTTCTTGTTGAGTACTACTAGAAGTAACTGTCCATAGATAGTGGTATCTCAAAATGATGTTGTTCTTGATGCCTCAAATTTATTATCCAATACTATACATACTTCCTGATGCTGAATTCACTGAAAGTTAAAGCCTTCAAACGATATTTTATGATTTCCGGTGAAGTAAGGATATCTTGTAATGAAAAATCTCTGCTCTAATGATAACATCAACTTTGTGTCCTCAATATCCTCCTGAAACGCATAATGTATCAATATTTGATGACCAGTACCTATACTTTTGATGATTTGATCCACCCACTTCTGTTTCTTAATTTTTGTGAAGAATGTCATCATCAGCATCCTTGTGATTGTTATCTCCTTATCATTTGCAAGTTATTCTCGTGATCATTTTGTGAAATAGCAGTTTGATGTAGGCATGATGAATGTGTTTCAACCTCCCTCCTCTGAAATGATTCCATGAGGATATGTATCAACATTCTTAACTCATACGAACTCCAACCCACCTGGAGTACACGAAAGAAACTTCCGAATTGATGTGGAATTTGTTATCACTGATTTCATTGCAATTCAATGCAAAGAACATCTACATGATGAGAATATGCGAAATGACCTGAGACATAACCCCAATTCTAGTACTTTTTCTTTTTTCTTTCCGCTTGGATGACACGTTATCACATGTTATGTCATCTGAAAACATCTATAAGCGAGAAATCCTCAACATCTTCAGGATGTCACTGAATGAACTTATCTAGGACAATTATGTCGCTTAGTCTACTCATGACAATGTTCTAGAAAATCTAACGTCTTCTTCAGGCGTTTGGCAACACATTGAGAATGAGCTTGGGCGATTGTGTGCTATCTGGGAAAGAATGGTCTGGGTAAAACCTGTGTAGTCCAAAGAGATTATCTCGGTATTTCGTCAATTTTTCCCTCTTCTCCAAAATGATGTTCCATTCGGCTGGCGCCGAGAACTCAAATACATCGCTTTGGTTTGATGGTCAAGAAGAACTACATCAGGCTTGTTAGCTTTTATCTGCCTGAGGGTGAGAAATGAGAAGTTCCAGTCAATTTGTCACCCCTTATTCTTCACCACAATCAGAAAACACCCTCGTGATTCCGCTAGGACTCCTAGTGCCCTACACCAAATCCGCGAGTTCATAGTAACCCGTACCTATATGCTACTGGTATATCACGTAACAGGTGGAGATGCATAGAATTTCAAATACATCATCTCAGATGTTGCAATATTACATGAACAAGAATTGTCTAGAAAATAATATTCTAGGCCAACAACAAGTCTTAACATATTTTTTCCGTTGTTTTAGATAAGACTGGTTCTGATTCCAAATCCTATGCTACATGCTGTGGGTGTTTTCGAAGAGGAAATCAGGAATCCCTTCTAGATATGTACAGCCTAGAAATGTTCAGCATGGGGTGTACTGATCATGATCACAAAAATTGTATTCAAAGGACTAGATTGGGACCTCCTGGCAGTGACTGCTTTTCTGCAATTTGCAAAGAAAATAGAACATCAGTGATAACAGAATCCCATCAAAATGCTATTTCTACTGAATGTGAACTAGCTGATGACGCAATTTCTTTAGATGAAACGAAAAATGTGCATTATCCTTCCAAATATCATGAGCTGTCGAAAAATATGTATATAATTGTTAATGGTAAAGAAGAATTACCTTGCGTTCATCAAGTGAATCATTGTTCTGAAAAAACACCCAAGTATATCAGAAGAATAGTTGGGACTAATCAATCGATAATTAATAAATTGGTGAATCAAGACGATGCCATGCTACTGACAAATCATGATGGCAATTTCAATAAAGTGAATATCAAGAATGTATTCGGTTATTGTACTCTTCCAAAAAATGAAAGAAGTGATTCCTGTAAGAAATTCTGGTTGAAACAAACTAATCCACCGATGAGGATTACTCCAGATGGAACTCATATACATTATTGGTGTGATATGGATAAGAAATATGATAAAGGTAAGCTGTATTCATTTTTTCAGATACATTGAACCTGAATCGGATGTGCAATAACGAGGACTGATGAAATCAAATCTTCAAGTAATGAAAATGATAAAATTAAAAATCTCCAAGAGAACTACAAAAAATGATCGATATTCACTATCCAATTCAGATTTTTGCCTTTCGTGTCTGTTTGGCAGTTGGGCATAGGTCGACTAGACAGAATCTATTCAAGACTAGACCAGAATTCATGATCTACTGGTGATGACAATAGCAATAATCTCGGACGGCTTAGGCGTCACGAGTTAAAGGGTGCCAAAGGAAGATTTATATCTTTTATCTCTTCATGTTAAGATTCCAGAACAGACGTGAATGAAATATCAGCGAATGATTCTCCATGATTGAGCAAATGTGATGAAAGTCGATAGCGATAATGATAATATCTTTGTATGCATAACATCGGAGACCAATAAAGTAGGATAGCTAAAAATTCAAGAATGAGAAAAGATTTGGATTTCTAATAGTGTCAAATAGGCATTTGTCATACTATACATCGATTAATTCTTAAGAAGGTCAAGCTTCGGAATAAATGAGTAAATATATATAGGCCATATATATATATATATATATATATAGGATGAAACTGTCGATTTCCTTCGGGTATGCAGTCAAAGAAAAACAAAGTGTACTCTTTTTTCTGTTCAAGCTTTCGAGTCTTTATTGGCTCTTCATCAGGAACTCTATAAAACAATTAAAATTGATATGGAACTTTAATCCTTGTTATCGATTATAAAACACTTACGGAAAATGAGGTTTTGTTGAAGCTGGCTTCCATTAAGTGGGGAATAATACATGTGTAAAAGAACATTCACAACATGAAAACATCAATATTTTTGAAAGTTGATAGAAATTATTACATTATATTTGATTTTAGTCGAGAAAACTTGCAAAGCATTTTTTGCTGCGGTAAATATTACAACATGGCTGACAAACAGAAGCATGTTGTAATATTTATCGCAGCAGAAAATGCTTTGCAAGTTTTCTCGACTAAAATCAAATATAATGTAATAATTTTTATCAACTTTCAAAAATATTGATGTTTTCATGTTGTGAATGTTCTTTTACACATGTATTATTCCCCACTTAATGGAAGCCAGCTTCAACAAAACCTCATTTTCCGTAAGTGTTTTATAATCGATAACAAGGATTAAAGTTCCATATCAATTTTAATTGTTTTATAGAGTTCCTGATGAAGAGCCAATAAAGACTCGAAAGCTTGAACAGAAACAAGAGTACACTTTGTTTTTCTTTGACTGCATACCCGAAGGAAATCGACAGTTTCATCCTTAACTTAGACAGTCGTCTAATCCTCTCCTCTATATATATATATATATATATATATAGATAACTACACGGTCATTGTTGAGCCCGATTAGCATATGAACGGTACGCTCAACAACGTTTCGCCCTGTATCTCTTCACTGAGTGGTCAGACTTGTTTGAAAAGCCATTTCCCGCATTTTTGGTCAGGCTCCACAATATACCGATGATATAACCGACATACAGCGAAAACTTCTGAGATCGGCCTATAGAGGGCGCTTTTTTGTATATAGGGATATACACTTCAGATTTGTATAAACTTTGTTGAGCCCACACATGATTGTATCGTTGTTGAGCCCTGAATTTGGCAACGTCGCAATTGTTGGTATTTAGGATACACAATTTGTCCTGGGACCTCTGCATCATGATGATGATGTAAAATAAGGATGTGATACTAGCACGTGAGAGTCTTAAGAAAGGTGTCCTGTTCATTATGTACCCGATAAACAACTAAGTACGGCTGTCATTTCTATCTTCCAACTTTGATAGTTAAAATCTTCCGTTGGCGAAAAGCTATCATGTTGCGGTTTTCGTTGGTCTGTTGAGATTTAGTTTATTACATCGTGTAATCAAACTTGTATCTTTTGATATTTGACAAAACGATAAAAAATCTCAAGCGGATTATCAATCTGTTTCATGATTGCAGGGAGAAAATTCTATTTGTTGACGAGTTCGATATCAGGTAATACATGAGTTGTTAAAACACTCGACAGGGTTGAATTACTTGGGTTTCTGTGCTTTTTTTTCAATTAATATCGGAGTTTTTCCAATTAGCTTATTCCCTACAATAAGCACTGCGAATTGAATACATATCAGATGATACAGGTAGTTTGATGCTTCAGGCAAATATTCGATGCATCATGCTACAAAGAGTCAGATTCATTCTTGGCTTGATTATCAGTGCATGAATAGCAGCCCAGATAGCACACATTCGCCTAAGGTCATCCTCAATGTGTCGCCAAACGCCTGGAGAGGACGTTCTATTTTCTACAACCTAAAAACATCATCAGGCGTAAATTTAGCACTGTTATTGTCCTAAATAAGTTCTTTCAGTGACAGCCTGAGGATGTAAAGAATTTCGTGCCTACGGACGTCTTCAGATGACATTCCATGAAATAACGAGTCATCGAAGACAAAAGGAAGAAAAAGAAGAACTAGAATTGAGGTTATGTCTCATGATAGTCATGATTTGTTCAAGATACATCATAATATATTAATGATTATATCAAAGTTATTAGAGTATTCATTGAATACCTTCATCAAATTTTTATTTCACGAAATGATTGCGAGAAGAACTTATTGCACAGAATTTAAAGATAACAATAACAAAAGGATGATAATCTCTGTTGATGACATTTCTCTCAGGTAGCAAGAAACAATGGTGAGTAAATACTAAATAGAATCATTGATATAGTACCGGACATGAAATATTGATACATTCATATACATTATTTATTGTTTCAGGAGGTTATTGAGAACACAAACTTGATGATATCATCATAGCAAACATGTTTTATTCCAAGATAGCTTTGCTCCTTCGGAATCTTTAAAATATTGTATGGAAGCTTGAACTTTCAGTATGAATTCAATAAAGGTATGTACCTGAATCAAATATCATTGATATAGTAGGTACTGGACATGAAATGTTGATAGGTTAATTATTTGTTTCAGATGAAGTTATTGAGAACACAAGATTGATGATGTCATCAGAGCAGACATGTTTCATTCCAAGATATTTCGGCTTCTTCCAAATCTATGTATGCATGTTTGCACTTTCAGTATATTCAATAGAGGTAGGTACCTAAATCAAATCATTGATATAGTAGGGACTGGAACATGAAATATTATAATAGGTACATTATTTGTTTCAGGAGGTTATTGATAACACAAAATGATGATATCATCAGAGCAGAGATATTTTATTCCAAGATATTTTGGCTTCTTTAGAAATTATGAAAGATTGTACATATTATGCAGACTTGAACTTTCAGTAGATTCAATAATGGTTGGTACCTATAACTACATAAATCATATCATTGATAGTAAGCACTGGACATGAAATATTAATACATTGTTTGTTTCAGAAGGTTATGCAAAACACAAACCTGATGATATTTTCATTCCAAGATAGTTTTGCTTCTTCAGAATCTATAAAATATTGCATGAAGGCTTCAACTTCCAGTTGATTATTCTGCATCAGGAATGTCCAGAGTTCAGAAATCAGAAACAACATGGAGAAATATAACTATCAATAGGCAATAACTTCTAGTAGTGCTCAACAAGAAGCTGAAATACATTTCTTTGGAAAGGAAATTGAAATTTTTCAGAATGAGTTATAAATAATAGAATGTAAGTTTTTCATTTGGTTTTTCATTTGAACCTATTATAAATAGAGGGAAATTTTGCTAATATCATGAGATCCATATTATTTTGAAGTAATTATCATTTGCATAATACAAGGTGAGTCAATAGTGTGTTATCCTTATTGTATATTAGCCAAACCATCAGATAAATAGAGAAAATTCAAGTACAACAGTAATAGGGTTTTATGAGAACTTTCACATTAAATTGTTTTCATATATATCTGATGTAGGGTGTTCGAATTCCAAGATATATTGACTGATGATTGTTTTTTTCCAAATGGGACACCCTGTATACTATTGCATTTTTAGGTTCTCCCTGAAGAGCTGATTCCATCAATGTATCACACTTGGGGTCTAGCGGGAATGATTACAGAGATATAGGGTGTTCAAAAACAAGATTTTTCAATTTTAGGATTTTTTTTGTGGAAACTATTCAATATTGGTCAAAACGGCTCACATATCCTTATAAACTTTCGATTTACTATCTACTGACATTCAATTCGAACAAATAGAGGGTGGGTTAACATTCAGAATACTGATCAGCTTATTGTATCTGTTCCAAATAAATATCAGTAGATAGCTAATCAAAAGTTATGATAGGAACATGTGAGCCGTTTTGACCATTAATGAATAGCTTCGACACAAAAAATCCTTGAAGAATCTCAATTGTCAACACCCTATATCTCTGTAATAATTCCCACTAGACACCAAGTGTGATGCATTGATGGAATCAACTCTTCAGGGAAAACTCAAAAATGCAATAATATACAAGGTGTTCCATTGAAAAAAAACCATTCATCAACCGATATCTTGGAATTCGAACACCCTATAGATATGAAAACAACTTTACGTGATTGTTCTTATGAAACCCTATTACTGTTGTACTTGAATTTTCATTTTATATATCTGACGGTTTGGCTAATATCGGAGGAGAACACACTATAGTGACTCATTCTGTATACGAATAATATTCTCCCATAAATCTTGAACCTCCTTGAAACATCATCAAAAACCGCCTCAAGTTGTTACCATGATGTCCTGAGGTTGTCTCAAAAGATTTTATAGGGATGTTCTGAGACGTTATTAGTATGTAGAGAATGGTAACAGGAGGACGTCTTGAGAATGTCCTCAGGCTCGCTCTCGACGTCCTGAGGACATGATTGTGAACGCCTCAAAAGGGCCTCAAAAGGAATTTGTGCTATCTGGGAGAGCATTGTCTGTTGGTATAGCTAAAAAGGGACAAATTTAGTCCTAGAATGATTGAAGTGTACCTTC